TAACGTCAGCCTCTGTCAGGACGAACGAGGTTTATGGTACACTGATTACTTCAGCCTGTCTGGACTTACAAGGTTTATGGTACAGCCTCTGTCTGGGCTAACGAGGCTTATGGTACACTGATTATGTCAGCCTCTGTCTGGACTAACTAGGTTTATGGTACACTGATTACGTCAGCCTCTGTCTGGACTAACGAGGTTTATGGTACACTGATTACGTCAGCCTCTGTCTGGACTAACTATGTTTATGGTACACTGATTACGTCAGCCTCTGTCTGGACTAACTAGGTTTATGGTACACTGATTACGTCAGCCTCTGTCAGGACGAACGAGGTTTATGGTACACTGATTACTTCAGCCTGTCTGGACTTACAAGGTTTATGGTACAGCCTCTGTCTGGACTAACGAGGCTTATGGTACACTGATTACGTCAGCCTCTGTCTGGACTAACGAGGTTTATGGTACACTGATTACGTCAGCCTCTGTCTGGACTAACGAGATTTATGGTACACGGATTACGTCATCCTCTGTCCGGAATAATGAGGTTTTATTGTTCACTGATTACGTCAGCCTCTGTCCGGAATAACGAAGTTTCATGGTTCACTGGCTACATCAGCCCCTGCCCGGACTGACGAGGTTTTATGGTACACTGATTACGTCAACCTCTGTTCGGACAAAGGAGGTTTTGGCACATACATCAATCCGCACACACTTGACGTGATACGAGATGTTTTGTCTTTAGCTACAATTAGGCCCTCGGACTGTTGTACGTAAAGTCTGTACACATGCAAATGAACACAGATGACCAAACTACACGAACCATTCCAATTTCCATTTCTGTATAACAAGACATCGTCTTTGTATTACAAAAATGTAGCAAGGAATTAAGATTTCTATCTAGATCGGTGGTATTACGCACAGGGACTTTGGAATTTGTTACAGCTTTATTTGGACCTAAACTAAGGTGATCGGGGGAAATTTAACACGTTTTAGGGGTGTATCATCATTGAGGGACCGGGTGGCATTGATACAAAAATTTGATATAAACTCCTAGAGGAGTCAAGTTACTCTGAACACCTTAGTTTAGGTTCAAATAAATCTGTAATAAATCCTCAAGTCCCTATGGAAGTACGGACAATAGACGTCAATGACTTGAGTTATATAACTGTCTGAAATGGAACCTTTCAATCTAGATGATCGCTATCACATTGAACAGACACACACTTTGAAATCAAAATGTTACGTCACAGTATGTTATTACATGTACAGGCTGTCGTTCTCTGCTGTTAGTATCACATATTTGGACCTAAACTAAGTGGTTCAGAGTTATTTTACAGGTTTAAATCAACTTTCGGTGAAAATGCTCCCCCAATCTCAGGGACCTGCGAATTTGTTACAGCTAGATTTGTACCCAAATAATGTTATTTTTAACTCCTAACACCTAAATTTAGGTCCAAAAATAGTTGTAACAAATTCTCGGGTCCCTGTGACTAGTATATTAAAACAGGAATTTAAAAATGGCTCTTAATATTACATTTTGAATCAAGGAGATACACTAGGAGAAAAAAAAACTGATTCACGGGCTAGTAATAAAAATATTGATAAAATATAAACATTCAGCCGGGCTCTCTTTTGGACCGAGAAAGACCTAAAGTTGTAGTCCGGGCTTTTTCAGTAGATCAGAAAAATACTGTAAACAATCAAAACGAGGTTTTCAAATAGAAACGTGTGCATCACAGAAATGTCTACGTGCACACAAGTGTACAATCCATCGTTAGACAAGATTTTAAGGTGCGGAATCAAATGATTAGAATCGTTTACGTTACGAAGTGTGTGTGGCATCGGCACCTAACAAAGCAGGATTTCCAGGCGCTTGCTTAAGTTGTAATTATATTGCCGAGAATTTTCTAATGTTAGGCTCGTAAAACAGGTTTCGGACGTGAGTGTATATGGGGGTTAGGTGTGGTGGGTGTCTGTGCCTATGACGGAATAACTGGGTAGTTTATTACATAATAAAAGTGTTAAGTAAAAGAACGAAATACCTTCATGTTATACATCTTAATACGTATACTACGTGCAGAAATGCAGTTAAATATTAGATGTACATTACGAGAAAAAAATAAAACCTGATTTTTTTATGAAATTCCCTTAAATACAATTTGAATACAGATGTACTCTTTTAAATTCCAGAACAGATCAAACTTTGAATAAAAAAAAAAATCTGATGCATGTACATGCAATTGCTCATTTGCTTATATGAAAGCTTATATAATTAACGGCCTAATTTCTTCACGCAGAAAAAGAATCGTTACATCAAGTAAAAACTTAAATGCATCAAGATGTATGGGATATTGACGTGAATAAAACAATGCATATTTAATTGTGAGTATGCATATTTGATTATATTACATTGAATATTCATAAGATTATCTCTGTTATCCTCAAAACGCACTCGAGCGTGATTTTACTAATAAGAATAGTGTCGTGTCAAAAGTCAATTGTACGACACACAGGTAGCTTAATACCACCCCCCACCCCCCACCAACCATTCACAACACCTGTTGTGTATTCACCTTATCGAGTACAGGTAACGCACAATAGCCAGGTAAATACACAAGGTGAGGGCCACTATCCACTACGAGGGCGGTTACGTTACACTAGTGACACGTGGGGCGTTCAAAATTTCAAAATAGGATGTTTATTATTTTAACTTTCAGGCTTACATTGACAGATAGGAAGACAGAGAAAACCACACTACTTTGAGGACCCGCCTGGCTATGACCTTTCTGAAGGTATAGTACGTGAATTTCTATCTAGTGTAAAGAAGCTGTAAAACTATATTTATATTCCTTTGGGCATTTATGTGGGTTTTTTTCATTTCATGTTTAAATGTCCTTCAAACGTAAAAGTTTATGATATAACACGATCCTCATCGATTCATTTTTGAAACTTTAAACCCAGTTTAATTATATACTAGGGACATTTTTTTCTGTCCCTTTTTCTGTCGAAATAAGGAATGTGTGAAGATATTGTTTGATTTCAGAACAAAATGCTAAGAGATAATAGCGTGTTTTCAGCATCAGTTACATCTAGTATCAGGAAATAATTAAAAAATATAGCCAACACTTTCCAGAAACTTGAGAATAAACACGGGGAAAATAGATAGAGGAACACAGGAAACATGGACAATTCTTATTCGGCCTGATGATGTAAGCGATAAATCATTAAGCGGATTATCGACATGCATTCGCGTTTCTGAGAGATATGCAGCACTTTGAACGATAAACAAAGATTATGTCATTTTAACTTTAATTCAATTACTTATAACTAAACTGGGAAAGGAAAACGAACGGGTTTAGCGTTAAGGTATCCGTTAGTACTTCGCATCATCTTCGTTCCATTTGTTTACTCACAGCTGCTTAGCTGGAAAATAAAATCAACAGTTTCCCTGAGAAAGTATCTGCTTTGCACCATCTTAGTTCAATTTATTTATTTTAAACTTAACTGGGAAAGGAAACGAAATGTTTTCATGTGAAAGTATCAACTTCCGTTACTCTTAAAAACTCGAAGAGGCTATTCTATTTATTACCCATAGAACACTTGGGAGTGACGGACAGCCATGTCAGATGTCGAGAAAGAACACGTATCTCGATTAAATCGCGAAGATTTATCATCGCACGCCCATGATTGACAAGCGATAAGAAGCTATTTTTACCAGTGATGTATATAACCATTTTATAACGATTTAAAAAAATCCACAGTTCGTTCATTTTTTCCTTCGTTAATGACAAATGATTTTGATACGATTGGAACGCCAATGAAACTCTTAGAACAGGGTGTTTACATGGAAAATTTCACATGAAAAGATATATTTGGACGGAAGGGGTGTAAAAAAGCGCGTGCTGAATGACATTTAGATATTCTTATGAATGAATTGCAATTCCTTCTTTGAAAGCACAAATTGCAATCAGCTAAGTGACACAAATCCTTTATATCCCTTTTTTACACAAATTGACAGCGGAACGCTATAGAGGTTATGGCTATATCACATAATGGGCAGATCTTTCTATTTGTACTTCGTCTTATTGATTTGTATTAAGAATCGATAATGAAGAGACGTTATCATATTTCACATGAATATTCATAATTAGTGAATGAATATAACCACATTATAAATATTATAATGCACACGTGGATAAAGTTAAAGTTGATCTCATCAGTTTTATTAATTACTTTGATAAATTATTTAAAACGAGTAATTTATTTAAAAATCCAATAGAAATATAAGGTATTCAGGAAAATTGGATTTAATCAATGTATTTAATTATATTTTACTTTGGTATTAACATTGTATTTACGTGAAACAATAGGCGCTAGGTACCAGTCTAATTAGTGTTTTTGTATACCTGTATGAATAACGGCGTGACAGTTTTTCAAACATAATATATTTGTAGTTGTAGTGCCTCGTGGAAGAAAAGTTTTGCACTTAACGTGTGTCACCCTAGTTAAGAATTTATTTATAACGGAATAAGTTTGTGTTTTTTTAATCGTGATTGATGTTGTTGTTTATTTTCCTCGAGACAAGACACAACAGCTACCTATGTCTTTGGACAAAACAATGTCTTAATTATGTAAACAATTTTGTGACCAAGAAATCCAATTAAAAGCAATATACACGTATTCCTATATTTATGTGTGTGTACACACATCAAGATGCACTAAATAATACTATGTATGACAATGTTCATTTTAGACAGCTGATCAAAGTCTGGTCAACTTACTGAAACATGTACACTTTTATTTTCCTGTGGTAGATTCTGACCCCAGCATATTTTTTGAGAAGAAGTTATTTTGATTTGCATGTTTAATTATTTTATTATGAATCATGTGAAAAATCTGTGAAATTTAGTTTCGAGTAAGGTATGGGAAAGCTGACTAAGCTTTGAAAAACTACAGTCTTGCCTGAACCGTAACAAAGGCAATCCAGGGAGGTAAATGGATCAGCCCAGTAGTAGGCCATACCGCTCGGAATGGCGTAGTGTTGTCGAGTCAGTGGTAGTACAGGAGTTCTCCTGGTGATGTCAAAATGCAGCCCCCACCTAGAAAGGTATACAATGGATTTAGCAAGTATACCCAAGTTTGATCTTTTTACCAAATAATTCGGATTTAGTGGCGTGATGTCTATTCGGAGATGTGGTTTTATTTTCAGGTAAAGCATACGACAGCTCTGAAGAATATTCATGCCGAACAGGTGGCCAAGCTTCAGGCTAAACACCAGCAGGAATGTGACTTACTGGAGGATATCAGGTGAGAGTTAGGGGAAATCCCGGGAGGGTCGGGACTGGCACGTGAATCATGTTTTTGTGACGTTGTACAAATTTTTTTGAGTCGTTGAAGATCAATAGCCCCCCTTGTGGAGCCCCTTTCCGTTATCAATACACATTCGACGACCCACGGTGTTTGTTGACACCAGGGCATTCACGCCCCCTTATATAATAGATAGGGGTTACTTCCCGGGACACGTCGACCCCACCGTCCGGTCACCCTCCCCACCTTCAGGTCACCTCCCCACCCTTAGCTCACTTGACGTCCTCCCCACCCCAGGGAATGACCAAACAATATTCGTGTCTATCAGACACATGTACAGCGCATGCAAAACAATGTCCGACAGTTTATGTATATTTTGCTCATGAGCATTACCTGCGGTAATTTTGCTAGTTTAATTATCAAATAGTAATGAATATACCTGCATCAGTACATCAGTTCAGACTACATGTCAAACATGTAAAAGATACATTTGAAGTGGAATTGCTCAATATGTGAAGTCCATCAAAATAAAATTCAGGTGTATACGTGTATGTGTATTAGGCAATGCAATGCATTTTTTTTGCACGTTTTCAATATCTCAAGTATTGAAACAGGAGCCAAGGCGAGATTAATCATTAACGAATACAGTTTTGATTTGTTTTAAATTCATCTATATTTAGAGCCTGAGTCATTTAACTTATAATAGTGTTACATCCCTGGTCGGATAAGAAATATAATCTATAAAGAAACTGTTGCATGTATAGATACTTGTGTATTTGTGTTGGGTTGTTTATTACTCAACAGATGTACTAAACCTGCATGTCATTGTGGCTATATGCTGTAATGTATACTAGGGTACTGTAGTGTATATGATATGATGTTGGACCCAGGTAGGGTGGGATTACGTGGGTGGGGGCTTCGGCAGACTCTATATATGTTGCTGGTCAGTCTCTGGAGCAGTCACTAACGTGTTATTGTTATTTCACAATAATCATGTCTATGTTTAAAACTTATTGATATTCTTGTCTTCACCCTTAAAAGATTTAAAACAGTGACTTTTTAAAATACACTTGTTCTATATCTCTGCTTTGATATCATATGGCCCTGGTACAGCTTGCAAACCCATGAAAATGGACTTTGAAATTGTCTCATAAATTGCAATCTTCATATTTTGAAATTATCTCATATCAACATTTTCATTGCTAACAAAGTATGATCAGAATGCGTAATGAATAAGAACAATGATGAAGAGGAACCAATGTTAACTAAATAACATAAATTCAAAGATATTTTATGATTTAAAAAATCAGTAGATTTGAAAATGCAACAAATCAGTTATAATACCAGTATAAGAAAAGACATAGATCAGTGTTAATGAGAAGATATTTACCTGTGACCTAGTTAAAATCTTCATAGTTACCTGTGTGAAAAAACAAGACAGTGTGACATATGACCTCTTCTATACAGACTTTTGTGACAATAACATTATGCATGAGGTCAAGTTACCTGTAATCATACCAGGTGGAGGAGTGTAAAGGCTTGTCACATTCTTGAAGTCACTGAAGCAGGGAGCAGTTGATGAAGTAAATGTAACTATATATAGAAAGTAAGCAGATAGTATAGGTCAGTAGGCAGGGGTTTGTGAATTAAGGTAAGGGGGGGGGCAGAAGCTGGGAGGGAGTTGATGAAGTACGGAAAGGTCAGTAGGCATGGGTTAATGGATTAATGGTGGTTTGTTTGAAGCTTGGGGGGGGTTGATGAAGTATGGAAAGGTCAGTAGGCAGGGGTTGATGGGTTAATGGTGGTTTGTTTGAAGCTGGGAGGGAGTTGATGAAGTATGGAAAGGTCAGTAGGCAGGGGTTGGTGGGTAAAGGGTGGTTTGTCTGAAGCTGGGAGGGGGTTGATGGAGAATGGAAGGGGCAGTAGGCAGGGGTTGATGGGTAAAGTGGGGTTTGTCTGAAGCTGGGAGGGGGTTGATGGAGAATGGAAGGGGCAGTAGGCAGGGGTTGATGGGTAAAGTGTGGTTTGTCTGAATCTTGGAGGGGGTTGATGGAGTATTGAAAGGTCAGTAGGCAGGGGTTGATGGATTAATGGTGGTTTGTCTGAAGCTTGGAGGGGATTGATGAAGTATGGAAAGGTCAGTAGGCAGGGGTTGATGGGTAAAGGGTGGTTTGTCTGAAGCTGGGAGGGGGTTGATAGAGTATGGAAGGGTCAGTAGGCAGGGGTTGGTGGGTAAAGGGTGGTTTGTCTGAAGCTGGGAGGGGGTTGATGGAGAATGGAAGGGGCAGTAGGCAGGGGTTGATGGGTAAAGTGTGGTTTGTCTGAATCTTGGAGGGGGTTGATGGAGTATTGAAAGGTCAGTAGGCAGGGGTTGATGGATTAATGGTGGTTTGTTTGAAGCTGGGAGGGGGTTGTTGAAGTATGGAAGGGGCAGTAGGCAGGGGGTGATGGGTAAAGTGTGGTTTGTCTGAAGCTGGGAGGGGGTTGATGGAGAATGGAAGGGGCAGTAGGCAGGGGTTGATGGGTAAAGTGGGGTTTGTTTGAAGCTGGGAGGGGGTTGTTGAAGTATGGAAGGGGCAGTAGGCAGGGGGTGATGGGTAAAGTGTGGTTTGTCTGAATCTTGGAGGGGGTTGATGGAGTATTGAAAGGTCAGTAGGCAGGGGTTGATGGGTAAAGTGGGGTTTGTCTGAAGCTGGGAGGGGGTTGATGGAGAATGGAAGGGGCAGTAGGCAGGGGTTGATGGGTAAAGTGGGGTTTGTCTGAAGCTGGGAGGGGGTTGATGGAGTATTGAAGGGTCAGTAGGCAGGGGTTGATGGATTAATGGTGGTTTGTTTGAAGCTTGGAGGGGATTGATGAAGTATGGAAAGGTCAGTAGGCAGGGGTTGATGGGTAAAGTGTGGTTTGTCTGAAGCTGGGAGGGGGTTGATGGAGTATGGAAGGGTCAGTAGGCAGGGGTTGATGGATTAGTGGTGGTTTGTCTGAAGCTGGGAGGGGGCTGATGGAGTATGGAAAGGTCAGTAGGCCGGGATTGATAAATTAATGGTGGTTTGTCTGAAGCTGGGAGGGGGTTGATGAAGTATGGAAAGGTCAGTAGGCAGGAGTTGATGGGTTAATGGTGGTTTGTCTGAAGCTGGGAGGGGGTTGATGAAGTATTGAAGGGTCAGTATGTCGGGATTGATAGGTTAAGATCTGAGGGTGTCAGTGAAGCTCTGAAAGTTAAGGGTTTTAGATAATTGGTGATTTAAATTTCAGGTTAGGGAAGCAGTGAAAATTTGAAGATTTGGTGAAGTAGGGAGGCTTTGGTAAAGTAGGAAATGGGCAATGAAGTAAAGAGGGATTAGTGACGCCAAATGATATTGAAGCTGGGGTCCTTAAGTTGTTTAAAAGTGTCTGTAACACATTGATAGCATTTCAATATGCTGAAATGGTATTGAAATAGATATTTCCTCAGATTTTTTTGATTTTTTTTAAAATGCAGTACTTGATATCATTCAAGTACCATAATCGTTAAAAAGGCACTGATAATATTAATAAGCAATGATAGTGTCTAGTACTGGTTACTTTTAGTATCCTGATAATGTCTGTCGACCATCGGTATCCAGTCTTCTGATAAGTGTTAAATATTGATGATAGACAAACTGGCAAAAACGATTAACGGTTCTTAGAATTAGGGTACACAGTCCTCGAGATTGGTTCTTGAAAATTCGTAAGTTATCTCAAAGGAAACTTAAGATATAACAGTTGGAGTCATTTTGAGATTTTGTTTAACTTTTCTACCTTGGTAGCAACAAGGTACGTATATATATACATTTGTAACAGATTTTACAAATGGAATAGAGGACTATTTATGGTACCAATAGTAAGTTTACACATTGACATCAAAATCTGTTTCTGCAGTGTTAAACTTTAAAGGTAAGCCAGACAGGTTATGTAGAGATTGACTTAGCTGATAAAACTTTTTTCACCTGTATGTTTTTAAGACATTAAGTAGATCAGTTTGACCTTGGATAGTACAGGTGTCACTTTCATATTCGTCTCAAGGTGAAAACTGTCTAACCTGGGCAGTGGTATAACATTATGTAGAAAATCATCACAGCTAGACTAAGTAGTGTGATATACCCACGACACATTTAGCTGTAGGTCATATAGTCATAAATGTTCAAAAGTAGGTATTTTGTGGAGAATTTCACCAGGAAGTTGTATCAAACTAAATATTCTTAAACAGACATTTTGTGGGTGATATACTTTGGAGGTTATATCAGAATAATTGTTTTGAAACAGTTATTTTAAATAGAAATTATATTTTGTGGACGATTTCCGTGTAAATGAAACATGGTATGGCATCTTTATTTACTTTCATATTTTGGAAGAAAAAGAATATTCACCTCTTGAGGATTGATTATGATGTATATCCTTTCTGAGTAAATTTGCAAGTATAGCTTACTGATTGAAGCTAGTTATACTAAGGAAATTAAATAACTCTTAAAAATCCATCATAAAAGATTTTCTTCATAATTCTTTATGTGCTCTTATGTAAAGGAGGTTGTGTGTCACAAAAAGGAAGCATACCTCCTTAAGTCTGATTGAGTCTTAGGTTAGATTGCTGTTTATGTTGCTAAGGAGAAGTTGGTGGTGGTAATGGGTGGTGGTGGGGGATTAATATGGAATTAACATTAGATTAAAATGAAAAGAAAGAAAAAACACAACTTGTTTCTGAGGAAGAGATGGCATTAGTGGGATTGGATAGGCTTTGTAAAATGGGAAGTTTGTTATCGTGGAAGGATCGATCAAGCTTTTGACAGGGTAAATATGGTAGGTTGTACATCCGTTAGAGGCAATGGTATCAGTTATATAGAGTCATGAGAAAAAATGCACTCGTGTTAATTTATTTGAACTGAAATCTTTAATTTTACTTCTGAGAGGTTTTCAAGAAGTATGATGGATGATTATGATATTTCAATTATTGCGGATTTATTTTCTCCTGCTACAATCAGTACTGT